ATTGATGCGTTGGGTCGGACCTTCCACCTGAACTGATTAAGCACCTGTGGCATGCCAGGCCTGGGGCTGGCGTTGCGAGCACGCCGAGACAGTGCCATCCACAGCCAGGGTGCTGGAGGCGGGAAGCTCAGGGCGCACGGGGCAGGAGGCCTGTCCTGCCGGAAGATCGAGGCTGGACCGGTACCTAGGAGTGAGAAGAGGGAGTGGAGGAAAGAACGTTTCCGGGCAGAATGGGGGATGGCAAATTCCTGGGAGCAAACGCGGAGGACACTTTCGGCCCTGAATCCCTATGTGACCCTGCCGGAAGCTCTTTGGCCAGTCCGAGCGCCGGGATGCGCGTTATTTTTCCCCATTGAATTCGCGGTCCATTGGAGCACCGCGTGAACATGAATGGTACGCACTCGCGCATGCTCATACCTAGTATTTCCCCTAGTAAAGTAAAGAAGAAAAGCTTGAGCAGCCGGCTCGTTGGTCTAGGGGTATGATTCTCGGTTTGGGTCCGAGAGGTCCCGGGTTCAAATCCCGGACGAGCCCCTCTTTTTACTGTCTTGCACATCCGTTTTGGTAATCTGCAGTCCTAGTAAATACGAAATGAAACTCAATGCAATTTGAATAGACCAAAGACTGAATAAAATTGGGCGAGCGGTTTCTCTCCATTTCTCTCGCTCACAGTCATCTTCCTCGAGAATTCTTACAGGTTGAGAAATATTTAGGGACCGGAGGTCTGGAACAAGAAGAGAAAGTTTTAAAAAAGTATAAAACATGGGCTCGTCCGGGATTTGAACCCGGGACCTCTCGCACCCTAAGCGAGAATCATACCCCTAGACCAACGAGCCACCGCTCCTAATCACCTTTGCTTTTCTTTATTAGTAGAGTAGACGGTGCCCCGGAGCCTACGCACTCCCGCTCCAGACCTTTTGGGTGCTGTATACGTTTAGAGTGGGCCACAAGCTAAAGATCCTCGTCCGTTCGCTGAGACACCGGACACCCGGATTCCCTCCTTTGCCCCCGAGCTCTGGGTCCGAACTCGGGGACAAGATACCAGTCTGCCGTGCATTAGGGACGTGTGCGTTTCTGCAGACCCGAAACTGCGTGTTTACCCCCGATCACGGAGATGGGCGGGGACTGAGGAGAACGGCTCGCCCCGTACAAGAGCGGCGGGGCTAGGACGCCGGACGGAGCTAGGACCTTCCTAAGTCCGGCGCGGGCCTTCCTAACGCTCTGGCTTTACTATCACCGTCAGCATCCGCATCGGCATTATTGCACAGCCTGGGTCTTGGGGTTCCTGAACATCTCACTTCACGCGAAGATCACCGGACGTCGCCAATCGTTGGCCTTAAATTTAGGTCAGGGCTAGGTCAGAAGTGCGGATTCCTTCGTTTAGGTCCGGAACCTGGGCGGAGCTCGCCAATTCTGGTCCCCTTCTGCATGGGTCTCCCAGCACCCGGGAGCAGACGGGGGTGTGTGTGTGTGTATCTGGTATTTCTTCTCGCGCTTTGCCTCTGCGGCCACCGGCCAAGGGTTCCAGGCACCCCAAAAGGCCTCTGTGGGGAGTAAGGTTGCCAGACCCACCCAGAGAAACAGGGGTTCCGTGGAGCCCCTCCATCATTTGATTCATCAGGTCCCTGGGAAAGACAGCCAGTGTGTTTGGGCTGCTCACGTGGTGCAAAGAGGGTAACAAAATCTGCCCTTTCTAACTGCTGGAGAAAAGGAGGAAGGAGGAGCTGGGATCTCCCTGCCACCACACCACACACACACCTGACACATGGCCTGGATAGTGAAAAGTTAGTAGCGGTGCTGGTGCCCTGCACACACACTAACAGTGGTCCAGCAAGTTGCAGCCAATTTACATAGCTTGTCATTCCTTCTGTACATGCATCCCCTGACTTCAAGATGGGGAACCAGAGAAGCCCAAGAGGGACTTCTCCTCAGTGGCCTCCAAACCCCCTATGGCTGTGCCTTGTATCCTCAGAAGCTTGCTGGAGCCTCACACTTCCTTATTTCCAGGTCTGAGGATGTGCTGGTAGGAAGAAACACCTCAAGTTAGTCTGCTGGAAGCATTTATAAAGCTTCTTTCACTCCACAACACACTTCCCCTGGCGCCTGCTCTGCCCCAGCCCTTGGCTCTGGGGACACTGATGAGTCAGGTCTGCCTCCTGTTCAGGTCTCCTGTCTCTTGTCCAGCGGTGGCCACACTGGCTGTGCCCTCTGCCTGGACCACGGCTGTGGGCTGCTCTGCCAGACCTCAGTATGGGCCCTGGCCAGCTGTGGTTGCTGCTAAACGAGGCTGTGGCCTGAACACATATGCAGGACCTCACGTTCTCCGCCCAGGCCCTCCACACCCTCAGAAAGGCCTTCTTCACAGACAGTCCAGTTTCTTCAGACCCCGCAGGGGTTCTCCACAGCCTTGGCAATAATGGAAGACCTCTTTGCTGCCACTCCCAGCCCTCTGAGGCCTCACTTCTCCTTCATCACCTCTCAATAGGCCCTCCTAACTCCACCTTGAACAGCCCAGGCCGGGCTCCATTCAAAGCTGCCCTTCTGTCAAGAATGCCCAGTTTCCTCCAAATTCCCAGCCTTGCCCTTTCTGCTTCAGCACCAAGGCAGACCTGAGCTAGTTCAGGTTCTCTCCATCCCCATGCCCCCTGCTCCTTCAGTCCCTGTCACCCCAGTTGCTTGACCTCACATGCACCTGTGTCTCCACCAGCAGGGACTGAGAAGGGGCTCCTGAGGAAGAGCAGAGGCCCTGTCAGCACAGATGACCTATGGAGAAGTGTTCGTTGAATGAGTGGTATTGTGTCTCTTTCTCTAAAAGCTGAAACCAAAGAAAAACATAACAGCTCAAAACCTGGTGTGAGTCAGAGGTTTGAGGCTTGTTTGCTCTCTCAATTGGCACAAAAGGCCCGTCAGTCACAAAACTTCTGAGGGGGATTCTCTGCCCCCTCTGCCAAAGCGGGGGCCCTTGGAGATGACCTCACTGGACAGCAGGGTGGAAGGGCTCAGCAGGAGAAGGTGATTTTCCAACCAAAAGGGCCTCCGCATGTGGTGACTAGGCCAGAGAATGTCTCAGGAAGGCCAGTGTGGGGAGCAGCCAGTGATGGGTGTCTTGTGGGTATGTCTCCCCAGAGTTTTCACAGGACTGGGGTAAGGACTGGCACGTGTATATGTGGGGGTGGGGGGTGCTTTATGGCTGCTGAGCCAGGATATCGGACCTGTCAGACCTGGAGGCCACTCCTCCAAGCAAATCTGGGCTTCTGACTGGACTCTCTGAGTAGATGGTGTGATATAAATATTTAGGCCCCATGAGCTGTTCTCACTCTGGGGAAAGCGCAAGACTTCACAGATGCAGGGCTGTGATTAATACCATGCGCTTTACATACCAAGTGGCCTGGACCTGGCCAAGCAGGGAATCTTGGAGATTCTTGGCCCTCAGAGCAGAAGGGAAGGGCAGGGAGAGAGGAAAGTGGGGAGAGAGCAATTTCCTTCACACACACCCTCATTTATCCTGTTCCTTCAGCAAACAGCCCTGTGCGTGCAACTGGGGGAGGCATGCCGAGCGGCGAGCTGATTCCTAAATGCTCTGTCCAGCTAAAGTGCTGGTGCTCCAGGGAGGAGAGGGTAAGTCAGGGGAGAATGGAGATGATGGGGGGAGAGCCAGGAGCAGGAGGTGAGAGGGTGGAGGGGCCAGGAGAATAAAAACCCAGACTGTTTCTTCTTTTTTTAAGAGCCACAAGCTGAGATCAAAGGTGATATTTTTACAGTAACTGAAATAGAAAACCACTGGACACACAGTGGGAGGTGAGCAGCCGGAACACAGGCCCTTTTATGCAGCCTGTGGCCATAGCAGGCACACCGCCTCTGCCATGGAACATGGGGGACAGTGTGGCCATGATCTTCCAAGTCAGGTTCCAGAAAGACAGGAAGACAGTGAGCTATGGCCCTCGGTGCTGCAAGAGGAGAAAGACGGCAATGAACGTTGTAGTGAGCGCCCAGTGCCTGACACCTTCCGCCAAGACCACCCTCTTCATTCTTGCTGTGGGTGTTGGAGCTGTGCCAGGCTCTGTTTCATCCTCACTGAGCTGAGTGAGGAAAGATTATCATTAACCCTCTTTTATGGAGAAGGAAACCAAGGCTGCAGGGATAAATGATTTGGTCAAGTTCCACTGGGAATTGAGAGCAAATTTAGGACTAGAACCCTCGGTGTCCTGGTTCAACACGACTCTCTGCTCTCTGTAATCAGTCACTTACTTATTCACATACCAAATTATTTACAGAGCTTCTGCTCTTACTTGTCCTTGTTGGCCCTGCATAACAGGGCCACCCTCAGGTCTACTAGGGCACAAGTGCTCAAAGTGTGGTCATCAGACCAGCAGAAGCAGCCTTACCTGGGAACATGCCAGAAATGCAGATTCTCAGGTTCCATCCCAGACTTAGTGAACCAGAAATTCTGGGAGTAGACCCAGTCCTCCATATTTTCATGAACTCTCTAGGTGATTCTGAGACATGAAGTTTGAGAATCACTATACTGCATTAGCCTCTGTTTCTACACCTGTACTTCAGGGAAAATCATGATGCCCGTCTCACAAGGTTGATCCCATATCAGCGAACACATGTGCTGGGTGTGTTCCCTGTGCCAGGCATCCTTCCAGTCCTTTATAAAAATTAACTAATTTAATTTCACAAGTCTGTGCAATAGGAACAACCTTTTCCTCATTTCAAGGATGAGGGAATGAGGGGACAGAGAGGTAAAGTAACTTGCCCAGAGTCACACAGCTAATAAGTGGCAGAACTCTAGAATCCAAGGTCTTAACAGCTCACCAATGGAGAGCCCCCAGCAGAGGGTCTGGCTCCGAGAATGTGTTCTGGGCATGGCTGGAGATGTGATGACGGCAATTAGCATTACATCATCTGAATTTGAGATAATGAGCCCCGTTTTGTAAATGTGAAATCTGCTGCCTTGTCAATGTCCAGGAGTGAGTCAGCTGCAAAGACAGCCTCAGTGTCTGAAACCCCAGTGCAGCCCAAGGCCCTCACCATCCATGCAGCTTAAAGACCACAGTATACCATCTTGGTCTTCTGGAAACATCCCAGTTTGCTGTCGGGAAGAGCACTGTGCTCCAGCCCAGGTGGGCTGGAACCCTGGTTTGACCTCTGAGGAGCTGCATGACCTTGGACAAGTTGCCTCACCTCTTTGAGCATCCTTTTCCCAATCTGTGAAGTGGATGATGACAGTCCTAACTCTGCTGGGTTCCTGTAAGGGTTAGAGAAGGTGACGTTTGTACCCAGCACGGATCATGCACAGAGCTGGCCATCAACATGCAGCTTGCCCCCCTTTTCTTCACCTCCCTGCTGCTGCCTCAGTCTAAAGACCAGCTCTGGACCCTGAAAAGGTTTGAAAAACAAAGAAATAAGCCCCCAAATGATGAAAATGCACTTGGCCTCCAGCCTCCCTGCCCTTTTCCAGAATCCCTTGAAACAGCCCCCCAGCCAGGATTTCTGGGGTGAAACACTGGCAGCTGCTGCCTCCAAGTCAGGGTGAAGTAGCCATGAAGGGAAGAGGAGGTGGCCTCTGCACACCAGCGCCACCGGCCAGGCGTCTGCAATCAGCACAAGCTTCGGCCTGTCGTGAGGCGGTTTGGCCCACACATCTGAAGCTCATTAGCTGCCTCCTCCCTGGGGGTTGACCCCTCTTGGCGAGAATTATTCCAGACAGAGCCACAAAGGATGAAGCAAACCAAGACCAGGTGAGGTGTGGCCACGGTTGGGGCGGGACATCGTCTCTTGAGTGTCCTCTAGGGATCCCTGGATTGCAGAGGAGGCTGGGAGAAAGCACCAGGCCTGGGCCCGGTCCAACCACTGGCTCCCTGGCCATGCAAAACTGGAGAGAGGTCCTTTTCCCTTTCTGGGCCTCAGTTTCCCCATGTGTGCATTGTAGAAAGGGCAAGCAAGATACACATTGAGGGCTTTCCAGTCCTGACATCGTGGAGTTCCAGCCTGACTTATAATTCCTGTCCTCTGGGGTTTGGCCCAGTGCGGGTAGGAGGTGAGTGATGGGTGGTGGTGGGGAGATACTTCAGGGATGGAGAACCATGACCGTCCCTCAGGCTGGACATCACAGGGGAGCTGTGAGGGGAAGACCAGAAAGTGGTACTGCATTCCAGAACAGTCAGCTAGGTGCCACCTCGGTCTGCATAGGTGACGGATGGTGTGAGCTGAACCTCCTGGAGCAGGGCTATAGCTGGGCCGATGGCCAGGCTCAAGAAACTCTTCCTTCTCTGGACCCACCACTCCACCCTGCTGTCTAGATAGGCCACAGCTGACTGTCACCTAGCAATTTCTCTTGACTCCTTATTTTATGCCTGGCACTATTCTAAGCACTGTACACATATTAAAATATTTAACCCCCTTTTTACTGGTTGACAGGTCCTGGGTGATTGACCAGCCTGGAGTCTGGCCCTCATCTGCCTGTCCTGACATTGACCCTCCTCAAGACACCTGAGAGATCAGACAAGCTGTCCCTGACCATGTCACTCAAGATGGATGCCTCCTCCCAACACTGTAGTGACGGACACCAGGCAGTCCCCCTTTCCACTGACACAGTGCTCTTGTCCCCTCCCCAGTCTTCTTCCCTCCTGGGAGCCAGCTCTCCGGGAGGCTGTTGCCTGGCGGGCTGGGAATCTGAGCAGAGGGGCCAAGAGGGCTACTGCAGAGGGCTGTTCACGCAGACCTCGGTGAAGCCTGAGGACTGTCTCCACTCCGAGCAGAGAGGCCCACTGTGGGGCCTGGGATGGGCCCGCCCCTCAGACAGCAACTCTTACCTTCCGGACAGCGTTGGACGTGCACACAGCCATCTTGGGCTTGTCTGAACCTTGGCTTTTCTCTGGACACCTCACTCCTGGTTGCTGCTTTCTTTCTTTGATGGTTAACACCGCTGATGACCAGGCTGGAGAGCGGTTTCCTGAGAAGTCATCTACTTCTCACAGGACAACCTTATAACAGGCGTTTCTAAGAAAGAGCCAGAGAGAGGTGGGGACCTGCCCAAACTCACACAGCCAGTCAGGACTGAGACAACCCTGGATTCCAAGACCATTCCCAACTAGTGTATCGCTTTCAAGTAGGAAAAATGAATTATATAACTGCAGAAAAACACGAAACTGCAGTAAGCAAAAGCAGAAATAAATACACCTTTTCTCTGAAACTTTACTGCCCCGCCCCACCCCTTCTCTCCTCCCAGGCCTCAGTCATAATCAGTACCTCACCTCCTTTTGCCAACAGCTGTTCTCTGAGGAATAAGCCTTGACAGCACATCCTGAAAGACAGCCTTAGACCAGATTCTGGAAAGGCCTGGCGTCTCTTCCCCAAAGGCAGAGCTTCCGCCCAAAAGGAACTGTTTAAGTGCAGAATATAGTAGGAGAGGCTCCCAGCCAGGGGTCCAGAGTCTGTATCCAGCACTTCCTGGTCTGTGGACTCTGTGATCTTAGGCCAGTCCCTGCCCTTTCAATTTCTTCTGCTGTAAAATGAAGACTTAGACTTGACCAAGCGGTTTCCCCACAGCCTATCTGAGTCTGCTGGCTTCTCTCGGGCAAGGACCACATGCTCTTCTCTGAAGTGGACCACAGGATTGAGAATCAAAGGGCAGGGTTCAAGCTCCCCCAGGGCCATCACTCCCTAGCCATGTGACCCTGGCAGGGCACTGCACCACTCTGCCCCCTCCTGGGAAGGTACAGATCAGAGTGCTCATGCTCTGTGTGTTCCCGGGCTGCCACAGAGCCCATGAAAGGTGGATGTCAAAAACCTCTGGACGACAGAAAGGACCACTCTACTGGGTTACCTGAGGGTGCCCCCTGCCTGCCCAGTGCCTGGCTCCATCCTGGCTCAGGGGGTCTGGCCCAGGCCTGCAGACGGAGCCACCGCCTGCCTGCAGGCTCCCGTAGATCTCTCAAGAGGAGAGTGTGTGGACCCTGGGCCCAGCCCGTGTGTGAAGTGTCAGTAACGTTGCCCAGAGGGCCTCAAGGCCCATGACATCATGGACAGAAGTTTCCATGGTGGAGCTCCCAGAGCTCAGGCTACTTTAAAAAGCAGCACTGCCTTTCCTCCTGCCTGTCTTTTTCCATTTTGGCTGAGGCCTGGAATGTGAAAGCAGCTACATCAGTGCAGCAAGGAGTAAGGCTAGGCTCCCAGACTGACTCTGCTTTCTGGGGTCCAAAAACAATGGTAGACCCGGGGAGTCTGGCCCCTGCTTCCTCTTGTCCACTTCCACCCCATTCCAGGCTCCCCTGGCAGGATCAGGGGAGGGGGCTCCAGTGGCCTGCCTCTGGGTCCCAGGTGATCTCTCTGGACCTCAGCTTGCCATCTGTTATGGTCTGGAGGTTTGTGTCTCCCCCCCCACAAATTCATATGTTGAAACCTTACCCCCACCCACTTGTAATGATATTGGGGGAGGGGCCCTTGGGAGGAAATTAGGTTTAGATGAGGTCATGAGGATGGGGGCCCCCATGATGGGATCAGTGTCTTTATAAGAAGAAGAAGAGAGACAGGAGCTCTCTGTCTCTGCAAGTGCACACAAAGGGGTCGCGTGAGCATGTGGTGGGATGGCAGCCGTCTGTAAGCTGGGGAGAGGGTTCTCACCAAGGAGCAAGCTGCCACCCCCTTGATCTGGACTTCCCAGCCTCCAGGACGGCGAGTGTTAAATGTCTGTTATTTGAGCCCTGCAGTCTACACAGTTTATTGTAGCACCTGAAGGGACTAAGACACAGCTATGAAATGGGCATAATAACCCCTCCCCTGACTATTGCTGATAAGAACAAAATGGAATAATAGCTAACAATTCATTTAGTCATGAATTCATTCAACCAATGTTCATGAAGCACCTTCTGTGTAACAGGCATTGTTGCAGGAACTGGAGTATAGCAAGGAGCAAACTAGACAAAAATCCCTGCCCTCGCAGACCTGCCACCCTAGTAGGGGAAGACAGACGACCAGAAAACAAGCGAAGGATGCAGTGTGCCCACTGATGGTAAGTGCCAGGGAAGAAGAGCCTACCTAGACGTAGGATAGGAAGGCCAGTAGGGAGGGGAGGGGTGCACCTGTTTGCACTTTGATAGAAGGTGGTCTGGGCAGGCCTCCCTGAGAAGGCGCCCTTGGGAGGTGCTGAAGGAGAAGAGAGGAAGCCATGCAGTCACTTGGGGGAAGGCACCCCCATATGAAAGGACACTGGCTATTGTAGGAAGCAGCGTACACACTGGAAATGACTTCTAGGTGTGTCTCCTGTGTGTTGAAAGCCCTCAGCTCCACTCTGGGTACAGACAGGCTCTGCACAGTTAAGGGCACAGCTGGATGGTGCAGTCACATCTTACCTGCTAGACTTAATTTATCTGGGCTTTGCTAAGCAGCTCTTTAATGTCAGCACCAGAGACTGCCTGAAGGTGCCAGAGAGAGCTCAGACTTGCTGCCTGACCAAGCAGACTGGGTGTCAGGAGACCTGGGCTCTAGTCCTGGCTCTACTGCTGGCTGACAGTGTGATATTACATAAGGTGCTGCTATCTCCGGGCCTCAGTTTCCTTCAAATAAGATGGCTCATGGTTGCAAGGGGCTATGGAGAAGGGGGAAAGAGGCATGACTGCTGCTGGGTCTGGGGTTTCTTTTTGGGGTGATGAGAAGTTCTGGAAGTAGATAGTAGTCATGTTTGCACAACTTTGCGAATATACTGAAATCCACTGAATTGTACACTTAAAAAAATATTTATTAATAAAGGTGGTTAGTTGGACAAGATGACCTCTAAAAGAAGAAGCACTAATATTTTTTGTGCCTACAGTACCCAGGGGCCTGGCCTCATCATTATGTCACCTCAGAATATGTAGAGTTCTTTCCAGTTCAGACTATCTGTGATCCAACACAATGATACTCACATTACCAGTAAGCCCCACTTGAGCCCTTCCTTCAGGCCCAGTGCTAGTCTAGAGATTGGGAGGAGAAGAGGAGGGGATGCATTCTCGCCCTGCAGGAGTTCAGAGCCTGTGGAAGAAATCAGAAGTGCACGTTGTGACCAGAGGTTATTTTCTTTAGGTCTAGCTCCTTGCTTTCCTTTCCTTACATAGGAAAGAAACCAAAAATACAAGGGAGGTACAAAACTATGTGGCCATACAGGGGCCCTGGGAGTTGATATATTCATTTACGCATTGGGGCTGTTGCTGGGTGCTCAAGATACAACAGTGGGCAAGTCAGACCCAATCCTGACCTTAGGAAGGGAGATAGACCTTAAAGTGATTAAACACACAATTAAGAATTCCTGTCATTATTGTGATTGTAATGCGGACCATGGAGGGAAAACACACAATGTATTGAATGGGTTAACAAGGGCACTGGTATGGCTTGAGCTGAGTTCTAAGAGCAAGTAGGAACAATGAAGGAGTGTGGAGAGGTGTTGGTGATGGTGTGAGGTGGGTGTTCCAGACAATTCCAAGGCCCTAACTGTCTGCAGAGGAAGGCAGGTGTGCATGAAGCACAGAGAAGTACAGACAGCTGAGCAGAAACAGGACAGGCCCAACCCTGCAGGGTCTTAGAGGCCAGGGGCCTACATATCCATTTATGCTTGCTGTCCCCACTCACTCCCAAGTGTTCCAGTTGGACAATAAACTATACAGGTCTCCTACCTTCAGGCCATATTGAGAATAAAAAAAACAGATAACCCAATTTTTCAAATGGGCAAAAAATTTGAACAAACATTTCTCCAAAGGAGATCTACAAATGGCCAGTAAGCACATGAAAAGATGCCCAGCGTTAGTCACTGGGAAAATGCCCATCACAAATACAATGAGATACCATGTCACACCCAGCAAGATGGCCAAAATAAAAAAGACAGAAAATAATAAGTCCTGGTAAGGACGTGGAGAAATTGGAGCCTTCATACATTGTGGTAGAAATGTAAAATGATGCAGCCACTGTGGAGAATGGTTTGGCAATTCCCCAAAAGACATATAGAGTTACCATATGATCCAGCAATTCCACTCCTAGCTTTATATGCAAGAGAACTGAAAGCATATATTTCATACAAGCTTGTACATGAATGCTTACAGCAGCATTATTTATAGTAGCCCAAAAGTGGAAACAACCCAAATGTCCATCAACTGATGAATGGACAAACAAAATGGGGTCTGTCCATACAATGCTATATTATCCAGTTGTAAGAAGAAAGAAAGAAATGCTGATACACTGCTACAACATGGATACATTTGGAAATGAAACTGAAATGTCCAGAACAGGAAAATCCGTAGAGACAAAAAGGAAATCAGCAGTTCCTAGGGGCTGAGATGGTGGGTGAAATGTGGAATGATAAATATAGGATTTCTTTTTGAGGTGATGGAAATGTTCTGAAATTGGAACGTGATGATGATTGCACAAATTTGCAAAAATACTAAAAGCCACTGAATGGTACATTTTAAAAGGGTAAATGTACAGTAAGTGAATTGTATCTCTTTTTTTTTCTTAAAAAAAGTAGTTTTGTAAATCTGGGGGGGAATGTTGCAGAACACTGAACCCAACTTCCGCCCCTTCCCCTTGTTTAAGATGGGGAGATCATAGCCCAGAGAAGGGAAGGATCACACAGCAAGTTTGAAACAGAGCAGGCCTAGAACCCAGAACTGCATCTGCTCCTGCTCCCCTGACCAGATTATCAGTTCCTAGAGGACAAGAACCTTTATTAATCTCGTACCTCCTATAATAGCACAGAACTTGGCACACTTCACTTCAAGTAAGGGACAAGGGTGAGCTCAGGGACTCAGATGGTCTGCCCCACCCCCTGCCTGTTTCTTCTCTTCCTTCTTCCCTCCCCCGTGTCTTCCTCACACAGCAGGAAATATGGCTGCTGGAAGCTCTGGGGGTCACACCTTCAGAGCTTGCATTCCAAAGAGGAACTAACTGCTTTCTCCCAGAACCCATTTATGCCAGTGGAGGGAAACAGCTCTGTTTGGTCCAGTTGGGTCACATTATGTGGCTAGGAAGATGCAGTTCTCCAAAAGACCAAGCCTTTTAGCAGGGTACTTACTGGGCTCTGTGATGGGCAGCCCCACCAGCGTCTCAGGAAGTGGGGGGAGGGGAGGGAAGGAGGGATTTATTTCACCATGAGAAGAGGAGGGGTGTGGGGGCTGTTGGGATGATCCCAAAGCCAGGGAAGCAGGCAGTCATGGATTTTAGATGCAGAGTGACCTGGGGTGCCTGTCCCGGCTTTTCACTTTCTGGCTATGTGCACGTGGGCAAGTGACCTCCCACCCTCACCCATAGCTTCTGTGTTCTGGACTGCAAAGTGAGAACAGTAATTCCCAGCCCAAGGAGTTGTAAATATTTGAGATAGGGAGCTTAGAGTGAAAGCCTAGAGCCTGGCACACAGTAGGAGCTATGCTAAGGGCAACT